TCAGATTCATGGTGACCCCAATTGTGCAGAGTAGAACTACTCCATAGGTTTTCAAGGCTGTAACCTTTCAGAAGCAGATCGCCAGGACTCCTCTTTACTGATTGCATATTCTAATTTCAGTTGATCAAGAATTTGAATTTTGTATAGTTCAAAATATGTATATATTATATGACATAATCGTGTCTTGTTTCTGCATGTAACTCTTGAGTACAGGTCTTTTATCAATATTGTTTAACCATGGGTTCAAAAGTTTTTGGATTCAAAATAAAGACTTTTAATGCCATTAATTAATTTGTCACATTGAGAACGACCTGCAGTTTTGTGTAAATGGGAATAGGGAGGTGTGGGGGCATGGGAGGGGGTTATCTTTGGGTACTGGGAGCCCAATTTCTTTGAGCCAAATACAGCTCTATTCTGAAGAAGCTTTTAGGTTTAAACATATAATCTGTTGTCATTAATAAAAATAATATGGGTGTATTTTAATTTTGTACCAAAGATGAAAGCATGGGTGATAACAGAGTTATTTCTTAAACAGCTAGGCTTTAATTTGTAAAATTTCTGTCTTAGGTATATATAGTTCCTGAAATATACTATAGACTTTTAAATACAGGCTAATTAAACCAAGGGCGTTTTAGAAAAATAAGTCTGAGAATTAACTGTGATGCCATTATCTTTTGCATGGATTGTCTCACTGTTGTTGTTATTTGCTGTTGGTTGACTCCGATTCATGGAGATTTTATATATAACAGGACAAAACATCGCCTTGTAAAAACATAGCTCTCTAGTAAACCATGGCATTGAGTCAATGCAAATTATGAGATGAAAACACTTCTGTATTCTCATACACAGAATATTAAGTTAGAGATGATAACATTATTGGGGAAAACCTTTATAGTTAATAAGCTCTTCCAAAGCGCAGGTTAATATGTAACACAATAAATAAGATAATTTATTTGGTTTATTTCCTGAAGATCTGAATTGACGGACTTACAAGGCAGCATGGAAAAACACATAGAAGCCATGTCCCGGGATACTGGAATAGAAGCCTGTTTTCTACCCCTAGATCTACCACTGACTAGTTGTTGTTGTTAGTTGCTATCAGATAAATTTCGACTCATGGCCAACCAGTGTGCGCAGAATAGAACTGCTCCATAGGGTTTTCAAGGCAGTGACCTTTTGGAAGCAGATCACGAGGTCTGTCTTCCAAGGTGCTTCTATGTGGGTTTGGACTGCCGACCTTTTGGCTAGTAGCCAAGCACTTAACAGTTCTCACCACCTAGCAACTGGTTCTGTAACCAAATAGTGGCATTTTCTTTAAACAACTATGCCATTTAATATTAGACTTAACATTGAGTGAGAAAGGAAATTACTCCATGTATGACTCTTAGTGAGAGTCCCTGGGAGATGCAAACGTTTAACACACTAGGCTGCTAACTGAAACGCTGGAGGTTCAAGTCCACCCAGAGGTGCCTTGGAAGCAAGGCCTGCTGATCTGCTTCTAAAAATGCAGCCATTGAAAACCTTACGGAGCACAGTTCTATTCTGACACACGTGGGGTCTCCATGAGCTGGAATTGACTTGTCGGCAATTGGCTTCTGATTGACTCTTTAACCAGTAAAAAAATAGTTGTTATTGAGTCAATTCCAACCCATGGCGATCCATGTGTGTCAGGGTAGAACTGTGCTCTGTAGGGTTTTCAGTGGCTGATTTTTTGGAAGTAGATCACCAGACCTTTCTTCTGAGGTACCTCTTTGTAGACTTAAACCCATAACCTTTTGATTAGCAGCTGAGTGCTTTAACCTTTTACTCCACCCAGGGATTGGATGCTTCTTAGGACAGGTCATTTTCTAAGAAGGGGAAGAGGATTTCTCTGACTAGTCATGTGGAGTGGAAATGTGTCTCACTTCCCAAGGGGACACAGTGACTCTTTAAATGAGACACTGGCTCTTTAAAATGAGAGCCAGTGGGATTCAGTGTACCGATTTCTGTTTTATGGCATCACCTCCTTCAAGTGTTAACTCATATCTGTCTTTTTCAGTGATATCTGTTGACTGTATCCTGGCTACCTCCCCACCCGCCAAAACCCCTTTTATCCTGCTCAGCTTTTTCTTCTGTCCATTACTTACCACTTTCTAATATACCATGTAATTTAGTGATTATGCTTGTTGTTTATTGTCATGCTTCCCGCCCCTCCCACCATAATGTAAGCTCCATGAGAGCAAGGATCTTACCTCTTTTGTTCACTCATGTATCTCAAATGAATAAGAGTGGCACTGTGCTTGGATGCTATTCTATATATGACAAGCTACATGCTGTGGAGGATCAAGCCGTGTTTTCCTGAAAACACTTTCTGTTTTCGTTTGGAAGTATGCTTGCTTACGCTTAACCTCAAAAACTTGTGAACTGTGAATAGGAGGACTTCTGGCCAGAGCTCTACCTGCCTGTAATGAAATGAGGGTAAGAGGCAGCTCTCAAGCAGAGCGAGGTCACTCTTGCTTATAATTTGTTTTCCTAAAGAGAACTTTCCGCACTAATTAAAGGCACCTATAGTATAGTGATTAAGAGTTACGGCTGCTACCAAAAGGTTAGCAGTTCGAATCCACCAGGCGCTCCTTGGAAAGCCTATATGGCAGTTCTGCTCTGTCCTTTAGGGTCTCTATGAGTCAGAATCGACTTGATGGCAACAGGTTTGGTTTTATTTTTTTGTACGAGCTGACTTTCAGTTTTAGTCATTTCTCATTTGCCATCTGACAATTTAACTACTTTTAAATAAAGCTGTATATAGGATGGAAGAACACAAATTGGAAACCGGTGATAATATGATAATCATGTTTTTTCTCTGGTTTGTTTTTTTTGTTTTGTTTTTTTTTTTGTTTGTTTGTTTGTTTTGAGAAACTGTGGTAGTTCTCTTGCAATCCAGATTTCTGGGTCCATGCAGTTGAAGTGACCCACTCAGGCCTTAGAATGTTATGGATTGAATCGTGTCCGCCCAAAATTTATGTCAACTTGGCTAGGCCATGGTTCCCAGTATTGTGTGATTGTCCACCATTTTGACATCTGATATAATTTTCTTATGTGGTGTAAATCCTACCTCTATGATGTTAATGAGGCAGGATTAGAGGCAGTTATGTTAATGAGGCAGAACTCAGTCTACAAGATTAGGTTGTGTTTTGAGTCAATCTCTTTTGAGATATAAAAGAGAGAAGTGAGCAGAGAGACAGAAGGACTTCATACCACCAAGAAAGTAGTGCCAGGAGCAGAGCGCATCCTTTGGACCCGGGGTCCCTGTGCTGAGAAGCTACTAGACCAGGGTAAGATTGATGACAGGGACCCTCCTCCAGCGCTGACAGAGAGAGAAAGCCTTCCCCTGCAGCTGACGCCCTGAGTTTGAACTTCTAGCCCACTAGACTGTGAGAATAAACTTCTGTTTGTTGAAGCCATCCACTTCTGGTATTTCTGGTATAGCAGCACCAGATATCTAAGACAGGTGTCCTTTTGAACCCTGAACCTTGAAGGAACCGTTTTCCTGGAGTCACCTTCCAGTCAAACAATGTTGGAGTAAGCAGTTTACTGAAGAGATCGTTTTGCGTTAGGCATTGGGCTCCTCTGGAAAATTACAATGACCTTCAGGAGACTACCCTGCCCAGATCACACCTGTATAACCTGCTTTCACTATCCTCTCTTTAATTGCCTTCCTGATAACCTTTGGGTCGACGCTGACTGATTCATTATATCTACTCACAAATATATTCTGCTACACTAATTTTTGGTGTTTCTCTGCACATTTAGGTTTTTGACAGTTTGTTTTGTTTGCTTGCTCTTGTTGCTGTTACTCAAAAAATAAGTTACAGGGGTAAAAAATAAGATTTGAGGAGGAATCATTTCAAAGCTTTTCTTGGAGGGAGCCCCTTATATAAATTTTATTCTTTGACTAAGAACTTTTGATATAAACTAAATGTTTTGAATTAGTGCGTTATTACATTTTCCATTCAGTTATAAGGCTGGTTGAAAGCTGTATGAAATAAGAGGTGGTCAGTTGCCACAAAGGGGAATTGGGGTGAGATATGAGGAGCATTCCTTTCTTTTGTCCCTTTTCATAGTATTTCCTGTTATAGACTTTTTTCCTTTTTGTCCCTATCCCTTTACCCTGGAATTTACTTTTCTAATACTTCCATTTCTGAATCTTCTGTAACACTTTGTGTTTCCCCAGTTCTCTGTGATAATTGCAAATGGACAAAAGAACCAGAAGTCAGTACAGCCATTCAAGTTAGAGAGGAGCCCAAAGAATGCTTGTGACTACTCCCCCGCCCAGGGGTATGTTGGGGGTGTGTGTGTGGCATTTTTAAAACCAGGCGCTTAGGTGATAATTAAATTTAAGATGGAGATTAAAATAATTAGAGTGGTTTATCTAATTTCTCCTTTGGAATGGGGAAAGTGTTTTTTGTTTTTTTCTTTTTCCTCTCTTTAAGACTGTGGCAGCTAGCTGCAGATTAGATCATACATAGGAACATTTACATTGCTGATTCTCCGTCACTGGCAAGGAAGGATGAGAAGCCCGGCATGCTGATTCGCAGGAAAATGCAAACCAGCTCATCATTTGCAGCTCCATGGTGAAGCTATTGTAAAGTTTTACTGCTTTCAAACTGTTCTATGGTATGGGAGGCCAAGCCTGGGGGCGTGGTTTGGGAACAATTGTTTGGCTCTTTTTATCCCCCTGAATTAACTGGACAGTCAAAGAATCAACATGGAATTGCTTGCAGACTTGTCGGCTCCAGTAAAAAGGTCTGCATGTTCCTAGTGACTTAGTGAAAACGGGGAACACATTTGCAGCCCCATGACTTCCATAGAGGAACATTGACACTATTTTTGTGGAGCCCAGAGAGGAAAAACTTGTGATCTGCTGGAGAGAAAACTGAATGAATGAGCACTAAGGCAGAAAGCCTGATGTGGATGTCATGCAAATGAGAGCTGAAAATAGCTTTCTCTTTCTTCCTGTGCACGTTTTAACTGGCTGCTCTAAGCCTTAAAGATTAAGTTTCATTGGGAGCTTTTCAGGTTCAAGGACAGTTAATGGTTTGTAACTGCCTGACAATAAACTCAACCTCAAAGTTACATCAGCCCTGGCAGATGCCAAAGGATATGAGACTGGAGGAAGATAGTTAGAATCTGAGCAGAAGCAAGCAGCTTCGCCACCTGCCTGGTGGACTGTGCTCTTCGTGGAATTTAAACTTCTAAACTCTACATAGGCATCCTGGAAATGGTGGTCTTCATTAAGGCAAAGTTCAAGTCTTTAATTAAACTTTTTAAGAAGAAAAGTAAGTAGTTCCATTTCTCCTCTCTACCTACCGTGTGTGTCTTTTTTACGTACTACTTTATCCTTTGAGTTTTTATGTACTACTTTATCCTTTGAGTGACGGAAGTAGAGTTAGTGAAACAGTGTAATTGGTATGAGTTAAACTCCATTCTGTACCAGGTTATTCAGTTAACTCAGATCCTTGTAACTCAAGGGCAGTATTATGTGATCTTAGCATATTGTATTTATGGTGAGATTTTCAGTGAATTCACTTCTTTTGTGCTTCTCAAAAAAAACCTTTGAAGAAGGGCAAAAAGCTTTGTATTTACTTTGTTTTCCTTGATGCTTTTTTGTTGTTGTTCTTTGGTTAAGTATGCAGTTTAAGTAAGGGAGCCTCTGTGTAATACATCGCATAGTTTTGGTTGGGACGAGCCTCTAAAACTCCCTTCTACTCACTGTTACGTGTTTAAGAGCTGTCTAGACTGATCAGCGATTGTTGTCAAGTACAGAGCTTTTGTGATGTGGTTTCATTGTGCACTTATTATTGATTTAAATTTCTTCAACCCAGGTACTTCCTTCCTTTGAAAATACAATTTTTATAATTACATGGTTTTGTTTTTACATAGTTGCTGGTTTGTTTCATTTTATTTTTTGAACCAATGATTTAAACTGGATAAATATGCATGGGTGGGGGCATTGGAAGGAGAAGCTTTCAAGAGAGCAACAAAGAAGAGCGCTCGGGGCTCTTTTTCCGCTTCTCCCTTGCTCTGCGCCTCTCTCTGCATTGATTGATTAGAATCTGCCCTGGCAAGAGGGACAGACATCAGGCTAGAGGCAACTGCTGTTTCATAGGAGCCAGTTGGTATCTGTGAATTGGGCTGATCATGCAATTGCACAGACTCGAATGCCATTACTTGGATTTGATTTGTAATTGGCAAATAGGAAGAATTCAATTTTCAATATTTTCCCACTATGAAGAATGGTAATTAAATCTTTAAAACAAATGGACACGAGCACAAAACATTGTAATAACCCTGGATACTCTCTGGGGAACATTGTATGAGTTCAGCACTCTGCTAGATTCTCAGATACATAAACAAGAGGCCAGTCAGGTCTTTGTGGATGTTATGTATTAAGACTGATAGTTAATTCACCACGCAAAGCATGTGTTCAACAAGGGATTACAGGAGACACTAGGTGCATGATTCACATGTCTCTTTTGTCAAACAAGAAAAGCAGAAAGCACACAGCACATTTCTGTTTTTAAATGGATGTTTAGTTCTCAGTGTTTATTTTCCCATTTAGCAGTTTATGGAGAAGGTGAGATTACTTAAGAAATGAATTATTTGGAGGCAAAGCTTTAGAGGAATGGAGAGGTTAGAAGCTGCAGAGAAGATGGTTTATGGCGCGAGAGCTAACCTGTGGCTCAGGTTCACAGGGGAGCTGAGAAAGGCTCGGTCCCTCTTCAGTGATGTTTTCACTGCCCCTGGCACAACATGCTTTGCATGAGTTATTTCGTGAACTAAGGGCTTTACACATATTAATTAATTCATTCTTTATAGTAGCACCAATAGCTGTGCCATGGCGTGAGTTCAATTAATTTTAAGTATGTTCAACTAGATGCAGTAGACAGTGTGTGTTTGCTCACTTTACTTTGGGAATCTGTTTTATGATTTCATTTCCAGGTGCCTGTTAGTTGTAGAAATGTTTTTGCCCAGTGTGAACTCCAGAGCGTAGGTCAGAGTTAAGAACAACCTGCCCCTTACTCACCATCCTAGTATCTCCTGGCTTTACAGGTGTTAGACTTGTCTCCCCAAGTTAATGCCTTAGCACAGGAGCTTTCTCTTATACTTTTGTAGTCTCTCTTCTATCTATATTACAGTGCCAATATACAGACCAAGGTTAAAGCCACAGACTGTTAACCAAAAAGTCAGCGGTTCGAAACCACCAGAAGCTCCGTGGGAGAAAGGTGTGGCAGTCTGCATCCGTAGAGATTAACAGCGTTGGAAACTCTGTGGGGTCGCTATGAGTCAGAATCGACTCGGTAGCAGCGGGTTTGGTCTGTATAACCCACTGCCATAGAGTCGATTCTGACTCATAGCGACCCTGTAGGACAGAGTAGAACTGCCCCATAGGGTTTCCAAGGAGCAGCCAGTGTTTTCGACCTCTTGATTAGCAGCTGAGCTGAGCTCTTAACCACTGCACCATCCGGGCTCCAGTATAGACAGTATTTAAAAAATTGTTCATGAGTTTGTTTTGGTGCCTCCGGCTTCATTTTGGGCTCCCTTGGGGCCCCAACATAGATTGTGTTGTCAGGAAAAATGAAAGAGACAAAGGGTCGCAAGCTCTAAGGGCATTAAAGGGAAATTATTATAAGGAATTACCTTACACTCATTTTCCGCTCCAATGTTCTGGTCTGTATTGTGCTGGAGAAAAATTAAATTGAAATGGATTTTGCTGGGAAAAGTCAGTTGAATTGGAATGCTTTTTTAAAAAAAAATATTTTAATATAAAAGTATTTCATGAAAACAAATGCAGAAAAAATTCTGTGGCACAAAGTGCTTTTCATTTGGATTAGCTATGCTGTTTAAACATATTAAATTGAATGTTCATGCTTAATTTTAGAAAAAATTAATTGTGTTTACAACGGTAACGTTTTTAAGCGATGCTTTAGAGAGGAAAGATTTGATCTCAAACTTTGGGTAAAAAATTTGTTTCTGTCAGAACAGTCTAACATGTACCGATGCAATGACCTTGTATGATTGAATTATAGTTATTTGTTGTGGTGGAGTTAAGTAGGAATTAGTGGTTCTATCAATTTTGTCAGTCACTTTTTGACATTGGAGTATAGGGAGGGCCCAGAATGCTGGCAAGCAGTGAACAAAGCAAAGAATTCTACCGAAACATTGTAGTGGATGATGGACATAGTTTCAGCTTTTCCTTTCGAGAATAAATACTGTGTGAAGGACACCTGGAATCTCAGATTAAATCTCATTCAGAATTTGCTCCTTTCCCCCTTTGCTGACCCTTATCCATGGATGTATTACACACCGAGATGCGAACTTGATATAATATATTTGGAGCCAATGAAGCTTAAATTTGACACCCGAATTTATTCTGTCTTTCTACAGCTGTTTCCAACCTAGATGAGGAGAGCAGATGGACAGTCCACTACACTGCTCCATGGCACCAGCAGGAGAACGTGTTCCTTCCCACCACAAGACCCCCCTGCGTGGAGGACCTGCACCGCCAAGCCAAGCTGAACCTCAAATCCGTGTTGAGGGGTAAGGTGGCTGTCCTTGCAAACTGCTTGTTCTTGAATTACTGACTGTTAGAACTGAGTATAAACTTGACTGCTTCCTATAAAAGATCTGTTTACTCACAACCTAATACATGCCTAAAATGTTACCGTCTCTATAGAAACATGCCTATTTACAGATATGCAAATCTATCTTCAAAGAACCCTCTCTTGTTTAGAAACCTTTTGGGTGTTTAAACCACCAGTTCTAATGTAATCCAAACAAACTCCTGCTGACGTGGGAAATTTTCCCATTGCCTTTTTAAGCTATTGTTAAGTGTTCAAAGCAAATTTGTTAAAGTTTCTAATGGTTCTGTTTAGTTCAAATTGGGTAGAAAGGGGAAGTATATATACTTTGAAGGCATGCCAAATGGTTCAATTTGTAGGAACTTGGGCAGTGCCCAGCTGGGCTCCTTTAAGCAGAGGCTCTATCAGCAGATGGGCAAGGTCCATATGAAATACAGAATATATTCCTGTATTTAAGCCTGGGTGGCACAGGTGGTTTGCAAGCAGCTGCTAATCAAAAAAAGTTGGCAGTTTGAACCCACCCAGCGGCTCTGCAGAAGATAGGCCTGGCAAACTGCTTCCATAAAGAGATTACACTCAAGAAGACTCTATAGAGCAGTTCTGCTCTGTAACACACGTGGTCACCATAAGTCAGGGGCTAACAACAACATTGGATGACTGACTCAACAGCAGCTAACAACAACAACGTTCCTAAATCTAGTTTAAAATTCTCATTTTTACTTCAACTTATTGATATTAAAAATAAATCTCTGGTAAGGAAGCCTTCAGAAAGGTGATAAAGAAGGAACAGGCTCTTTAAAGAGGAAGGAATTGACTTGTAAGATCCATAGATGTTTTTCTTAAAAGAAGAAAACCAAAGTTCTTATTCTACCAGACACTGATTCTACCAGTTTTCTCCTACCATGCAATATTTGGGACATAATTATACTAAATTATTTATTATTTATCTGAAATTCTAACTTAACTGGACATCCTGTATATTATCTAATTGTCAAAGGCTTAACTCTGAGAGAAGTTCTGTTGTTGGTTCAAGGAAAACGCAGCACGAGAACCCATGTAATTATTATTATAATTTTTACTAGTAAAAAACCAGTTGAGTCAAATTGATTCCAACTCATGGTAACCCCATGTGCTTCAGAGTAGAACTGTGCACCACAGGTTTTTCAATGGCTGTGACCTTTTGAAAGTAGATCACCAGGCCTTTCTTCCCAGGTACCTCTGGGTGAATTCCAGCTGCCAACCTTTTGGTCAGTAGCCAAGGGCTTAACCATTTGCTCCACCCAGGGAACTCCTTTACTAGTATATCAATCATTTGTTAAGTGCTTGATTCTTTAATGTACTACTACAACTACAATTACTAGCTAAGATTTATTAAGTGCTTAAATACATGCCACATACTATTCTAAGCCCATTACGTGTATTATCTTATTTAATCCTCACAGTAATCCTATTACTTACTATTACTCTACCCATTTTACAAAGGAAGAAATGGAGACACAAGTACATGAAACTTGCCTGAGATCTCAAAGTAAGTTAGTGGTGGAACCAGGATTTAATAAGCTTGGGCGTGCTGAGCTCCTGCTGCTTTTTCTTTTTTTTGTGAAAATATACACAACCAAACATACACCCATTCAACAGTTTTAACATGTATAATTCATTGACATTGGTTACATACTTCATATTGTGTCACCATTCTCCCTATCTCTGCCCATATTGTTTCACCACCATTAACTAAGTAAGACTCTCTGCCTCTTAAAAGTTCTTATCTGTGCTTTAGAGTTACTGTCGTCATTTTGATCTCATACAGATAATTCCTTAAAAGGGCACAATGTTCAAGGCAAACACTATCTATTGAGCTAGACTGTTGTTTAGCTTAAAGATGACTTCATGGGATAATTTCAGTTCAAAGTTTAAAAGTTGTTTCTAGGCAATAGATTTGGAGGTTCTTCCAGTCTCAATATATCCAGGAAGTCTAGTTTCCAATAAAAATTAGAAGTTCTGTTGCACAATTTTACCCTTTTGATCAAGATCCATCTATTGGGTTCCTGATCAAAACGTTCAGTAATGGTAACTAGGTACCATCCATTTCTTCTGGTCTCATGGCAAGGGAGATAGTAGTTCATGGAGGCAGTTAGATCTGTAGGTCATTTCCTTCTCCGATTCCTGGGTCTCCTTCCTCTGCTGCTCCAGGTTAATAGAGACCAACCATTGTATCTTGCCTGAATGGCTTCTTGCAAAGAGTTTGTACTCTTTTAATTGCTGTACTCTACTGTCTTCAACAACCATTTGTTGGAAATGTATTATTCTGGCATGAGTGCAAAATACAAAGGTAAGGTCTCTGCTCTCAAGGAATTTGTACTTTATAGTATAAATCACAATGTGAAAAATATTCCAAAGATATGCCCAAAATTGCTGTGTGGGAATTAAAGAAAGCAGGTAGCATCTGCTTGGAGAGACAAGGAATAGTTTTCAATAGAATCATGATAGATGTAGTGCAAACTTTTTAGATCATAGCCCTATTTCCTTTAAATCCTATATAATGCTTAGTCTCTCACTTATGTACCTTTAACTTACAATCTTTTTATTTTATTTTGTTAATGTTGAGAATATACACAGCAAAACATACACCAGTTCATCCATTTTTTACATGTACAATTCAGTGACATTGATTATATTCTTTGAGTTGTGCAGCCATTTTCGCCCTCCTTTTGAGTTGTTCCTCCCCCATTAACATAAACTCACTGCCTCCTAAGGTTTCTATCTAATCTTTAGTTGTTGTTGTCACTTTAATTCCGTATAGATAATTCTTAAAAGAGCATAATGCTTAAGGCAGACCTTTTTTACTAGTTAAGCTAACTGTTGTTTGGTTTTAAGAAGACTTAAAGGGTTTTGATTTAAAGATTATCTCAGGGCAATAATTTCAGGGGTTCATCCAACCCCTTGGCTACAGAAAGTCTGGAGTCCATGAGAATTTGAAATTCTGCTCTACATTTTCCCCCTTTTGATCTAGATTCTTCTGTAGAATCTTTGATCAAATGTTCAGTAATAGTAGCGAGGCACCATCCAGTTCTGGTCTCATGGCAAAGGAGGCAGTTGTTCATGGAGGTAATCAGGCAAACGTTCCATATCCTCCTCCTATTTCTGACTCTCCTTCTTTCTCTGTTGCTTCAGGCAAATAGAGACCAATTGTCGATGTCTGCTTGCAAGTTTCTAAGACCCCAGGCACTATGCAATGAACTAGGAGGTAGAACAGAAGCATTAAACACAATATTAGGCCAATTAGCTGGGATGTCCCGTGAAATCATGACCCTAAAACTGCAAACCAAGGAACCCCAAATCCCATGAGGTTTTTGGTTGTACATAAGCAGCCTAAGCAGCTACTCTTTTTTTTCTCCCCCCTTTTTTGGTCATTGTTGTAAATATATCTATCAACAACTTTTTACAGGTGTACAATTTGCTGACAGCAATTACAATAATCAGCTGTGCAATCCTACTTTTTAATCAATATGATTTTTCCATCACCCTTAACTCTCCCTCCTCCCCCAGCCTTTTCCCTCCCTCCTGCCCCCGTAACCACTAATGAACTTTCGTCTCTATACATTTGCTTGTTCTAGTCTTTTTATATAAGTGAGGTCATAAAATATTTGTCCTTCTGTGACTGTAATTTACATTCTTGACCTTGCACCATCCAAAAATGAGGACATTAATAGGTTCTCTTTTCCATTTAACCTGAGTAACCTATATATTTACTGCTACAGGCTTAAATGAGAAAAATGGCATGAGCTTGGCTCTTTTGCACGGCCTTGGGGTTGTACTTTGAGCTTTGTTGCCTTTATGATGTTCCTTGCTTAATGTACATAATTCCAACCAAAGTTTCTTCTAGATCCCTTCAGTTGCTAGTGATTTACCTTTAGTAAATTCGAACAAGTAACTTCTCTATTTATAGCCTGCCTTCCCCACCAAATAATAAGAATATTAAATGGCACCCTTACCAGGAAAAACCCCAAGGCAGTGCCATTGTTAGCATTTCATTGTCAGCTTTGAACAACAGAGCGCTGTGTGGCCTGGCTTGTAGAAAATGCTTTCGTGAAGGTCTCAGTGAGTTTGAATATTTAGGCCCAACTTTGTGTTGTTGAACTTTCCCCAGGATATTGTGGTTCATTACGTATTTCATGTATTTTCAAATACCAGCTCAAAGCTTCTCTTTTCTCCTCCTTAGAAAACTGAACGTCTTTGTACAGAATTTTCTAATTTTATTCTCCTTTTGACTGTCCACTAGATCCATATGAAACGTCACCAGTGGTTTTGTTGCCTAACCTTGTTTTAGTTTGAAAAGGCAAATGCTTTAGTAATAGCTTTGATCACCCTGAAATGGTTCATCAAGAGGATTTAATATTTAAAAAATTAATAATTTTGGAAAATTCTTGGGGCTCAACTTTTAAAGTCTGAATTTTAAAACTATGTAAGAGATGTTAGATAAATAGTAACTATTTAAGAATGGTGGTTGAGAAAGATAAAATGAGAAAGCTTCCTAGTTCTTTTGTTCTTCATTCATTTACTTTTAATCACATACACAAAACTTCACATACCTCTTGGCTTAAATCATCTTAGCAACCTGAGATAAACACAATATGAGTACAGAATATTTATTGCCTCATTATCAATGGAGATTAAAAAAAGAAAATCCAGTCCTTCAATATGTGGCACTATTAAGGCTTGATGTTACGGAGGTTATCAGTCACAATTAATCCGACCTCAACATTTTTTGCTTAAAAATATAAAAAGGTAGCTAATTATTCACAATGAATAATCTGTTTCATTCCTTCTTCTATTCTTACTGTGATCTGATTCCCAATTTTAAGGAAAATATACTATTGTTTAATGTTAAACAGGTTTGTGCTCTTGTATAACCATTAAATGCTCATTGTATGAATTGGTCTGTCCGTTTTTCAGAAGCTG